GGAGTTCAGACGTGTGCTCTTCCTATCTCCCCAAAACCCCAAAACCCCATGATGCAAAATTAACGAGTTTAATTCAGGAAATAAAAGCTCATCTCTAAAGTATTATTTTAATCACTCATCCTTTCAATAATATCTTTCCATCATCTAGCGTTAGTAATTAATAAATAAAAAGAAAAAATCTTATGGGTGCTAGTCTTTCTTCTTAGGTTGCTGAATGTGATCCTCAAGGTACTTTAATGGGTTCACACCTTAAAACTCCCGAGGACATCAAGGAATTCCCATATTTCCCAAGTGGAACCACTTCAATTTTGAGCCAATGTCTTACCAAGGATATTTGGGATCAATTGAAGGACAAGAAAGATAAGCACGGATTCACCTTCAAATAAGCAATCTTCTCAGGAAGCAAATGGACTAACTCAGGAGTTGGAGTCTATGCTGGATCTCACGATTCATATTATTCTTTTGCTCCATTCTTCGACAAGGTTATCTACAAATATCACGGACACTCCAAGACTGACAAGCACGTCAGCGATATGGATTACACCAAGCTTAACTGCCCCAAATTCCCAGCTGATGAGGACGCCATGATTAACTCAACTAGAATTAGAGTTGGAAGAAACCTTGCTGACTACCCACTAGGTTCATGTGTTACCAGAGAACAAAGATTAGAGGTTGAGCAGAAAGTTACTTCTGCCCTCGCTAAGTTTACTGGTGATCTTAAGGGAAAATACTACTCACTTGCAACTATGACACCAGCTGAGAAGAAACAGCTTATTGAAGATCATTTCCTTTTCAAGGGTGGTGACAAGTATCTTGAGTCATCATTCCTCGAGAGAGACTGGCCTGAGGCTAGAGGAATCTTCCATAATGATGCCAAGACTTTCCTTGTGTGGGTTAATGAAGAAGATCAACTCAGAATCATCTCTATGCAATAAGGTTCAGATATCAGAGAAGTCTTCGAAAGACTCTCAAGAGCTGCTACTGATATTGAGAAGGTTGCTAAATTCGCTCATGACGATCACCTCGGTTATATCACTTCATGCCCAACTAACTTGGGAACTGGCTTGAGAGCTTCAGTTCACATCAAATTGCCAAAGCTTGCCAAGAGACAGGATGAATTCGAGGCCATTGCTAACAAGTATTTCGTTCAAATCAGAGGTGCTCATGGAGAGCACACTGAGACTGATGATGGTGTCTTTGATATTTCAAACTTGAGAAGACTTGGAAGAAGCGAAGTAGATCTAGTTCAAGACATGTACAACGGAGTTAAAGCAATGATCAAGAGAGAGAAAGAACTCTGAGAATGAGTGCTCTAAGGAGATATTTATTTTTGCTTTTATTTAATCTCAAAGTTCATATCTTTTCTAGAATAAATTCCATTCTGGGGTTTTGGGGTTTTGGGGTTTTGGGGTTTGGGG